ACTGTCCAACACAGGGGAGAAGGAGATACAAGGAGCTGCCCTGTCCGGTGCTCTCTGCTAAAAGTGTACTGAAAGAGCAGTGCAGCTTTACTTTCCAAGGTAGATACCACAGCCCCTGGGACTGATGATCTTGTGGAAAAAAAAATCAGGGTACTGGATAAACACAACTTCGATGCCTCTGGTATCCCAAATAGCCTCTCTGTGACAGAACCAAGGTAATAATAGAATGCTGCGGTATGTGTGACATCTTCTTTATAAACAGTAAGCTGTTTTATTTAGAGTCAATGGTGCCTAGAATCTTGTAGCATCATAACCTTTAAATAAATTACAACAGCTAGACCCCATGGAGGTGGTTCTTGACTGTAAGTGGTCTATTCTGCCTGCATTAACAGTTTAAAATAATTCAACTTCCTGGAAAAGAATCGTGAAAAACAAGCTAATAGAAGTATAAGCACAATGGAAAGGATTAGCACCATCTCTATCCCTAGCAACAAAAGTTACTATCATTTGACATCCTTGTGTGCAAAGATTTCAGTACGTCAAAATTATTGCCATCCTGGGAATGACTCCCTAAGTATTCCCACACTGCCAAATGAGAAATTTGAGTGTGGAAAGGCTTAGCAAGTAACTCTAGGTTAGGACACAAATAGAAAGTGGCAGAACCAAGAGTCATACCAATACTAGTACCTCAAAAGTTTGTTTTCTTCTGGCTCTTCTTCTTTTTCTTAGGAAATAATGGAAATTCCTTTAAAATAACTGATGAAACATTAAACTGAAACAATGATGTAACACTATAAAATATGTCAGTTTAAAAATTTTTTTAAATAACATACAATGTTGACCAGGAAGGACACGGTGAGGCCAGCACTCTCATGTTCTCAACCATGCATTAAAAGATATGAAGCTTCAGGAAGGGAATTTGGTGATCTGAGTGAAGTGACAATAAATGCACGCATGTTTTACTTACTGATACTACTTTTACAAATTTGTCCTAGAAAGCTTCCCCAAAATTTGAAAGTGCTAATTATACAGATGTTTACCATAGAATCACATATTAACATAACATAGAGGCACACCAAGCATTCAAGACACATGGTTAAATGATACCGTATGCACTAAATGGGACCATGTTTAAAAGTGATCACTATATGTTAAGTGACAAGAAATATATTTGAAATTTATTTAAAGTCATAAATTTAAAAATCGAAAGGGAGGCTGAGGCAAGAAGATCCCCAGTTTGGGTCTCACCTGGGCAACTTAGTTACTTAAGATTATCTCAAAATAAAGAGCTGGGAATATACCTCAGTGCAGAGATCTAGGTTCAGTTACCAGTACTGCAAAAACCACCACCACTGCCAAAAACAAAACAACAGCAACAACAAAAAAAACCCTAAGGTGTGACTCCTAAACCTCTATGTGTAAAGCTTCTTGGAATTGAGTAAAATGCCACTAAAATTAAAAGATATGAAGTTGGCCAAGCATAACCTTCACCACTGTTTGGTCCTTAAAAAACGATCTGAATACCATAGTACAATGATTTCAAATTTAATGTTCAAAGGAAAATGTACTAGAAGCAATATGTTTTTTATCATGTAAAATAGGCCTGTTTGCCAGCAGAACATAAAGAAAGTCAAGGTCACCTGCAGTCACTGAATATCATAGTGCAGAAAAAACTTAGTACCTTTTTTTTTTTTTCTCTATTTTTTCCAGTACCAGGAATCAAACTCATGACCTTGCGCTTGCCAGGCAGGCGCTTTTGCCACTCAGCTAAATCCCCAGCCCTAGAACCTTTTCAACTACACAAAAACAGAAGACTCAGATATGCACCCGAAGCCATTGGCTACTTGGATGCCATTCTTAGCATCAAAGTTGTTCCAAAAGCCACATTAACGTGACATTTTCTTCATTAGGCTCATTGTAATACCAGTTCAATCTTAAGCAACAGTAAGAACAAACCACTGAGTCACAGAACCTGGAAGAGTTATGCTTATGAGTTTTTGGAAAATACAAGGGCCAAATCACAGAATCTAAGTTGATCTACAATGGTGACTCCTTAAAATATGCCCTTTTCTGTTGCAAAGAATTTGAGCACTGATTGAAATTATGTTAAAAGGTGATAAATTGGAGATAGCCATTCTAAAACTGTCATAAACCCTATTTCTACTTCATGATTAAAGGTTTTGTCAAATCCACATCATGTAGTACTTTTCATTTCTTTTCCCATTTAATCAGGAGTTAATTTACTATTCTGATGTGTCTTACCTGTCAAGATTCACTGAAATAAGGAAAAAAATCTCAGTGCAACAATCTAACAAGGGAAACTAATGCTTTGGCTTTTCTCTATAGTAGAGAAAGGAGATATATTCAAGAATTATTATTTATTGTGCCTGTCGTAGTTCACATGACCACGGACTTGGACGTGAATTAAGATTATCTTTCAAAATTTTATATTTAATATAGATTAAAATAGTGTAATAGCTTTATCTAACCAGCCACTTTACTGTTACTAGGATCAGTGACAACTGCCAAAGTACAGAAGAGTCACTACAAGAAAACAGCCCTTAAAAGGGATGTTCAGAACTTATTTTGAAAACTATAAAACACTGCTGAAAGAAATTAAAGCTCTAACTGAATGTGAAAAAATCCTCTACTTAAGGTTTGGGATACTGAACAATGTTAAGATGGCAATAGTCCAGATCTATGTACATATTCAATACAATCCCTATCAAATTTTCAGCTGATTCTTTACAGAAATTGAGAAGCTGGTCCTAAAATTCATGAGAATTCAAGAGATCCAGAAGAACCAAAAAATCTTGAAAAAGAACAAGTTTAGAGAACTCACACTTCACGATTTCAACATTTACTACATCAAATAATCATGACAGTATGGAGCTGGTGAAGGCAGACATCAATCAATGGAATATAATTTAGGATCCAGAAATAACTCCTCATAATTACAGTCAATTATTTTCTTTACCAAGTTACCAAGGTATTTTCTTTTTCCAAGATATTTTAAGGAAAAAAAAAAAAATTTTTTTTTTTTGTTTTTTGTTTTTCTCCGGTACCAGGAACTGAACTCACGACCTTGCGCTTGCCAGGCAAGCGCTGTGTCACTGAGCTAAATCCCCAGCCCCAGGAAAAAAATTTTTTATAACAACTGAATATCTACCTGGGAAATAATGAGGCTGGACCTATACCCTATAAAAACTAACTTGAATCAAAGACCTACATGTAGAGTTAAAACTGTACAAGACTTAAAGGAAAAGAGGCATAAATCTTCATGACTTTTGATTAGGCAATGTTTTCTGAGATATTTTACCAAAAGCATAAGAAACAAAAGAAGAAAATAAACTGGATCTGACCAAAATTAACATTTATGCTTCAGTGGATACTACCAAAAAAGTAAGGGCCAGGGATCTAGCTCAGTGGCACAAGTGTCTGCCTTGCAAGCACAAGGTCCTGAGTTCAATTCCCAGTACCAGGAAAAAAAAAAAGAAAGTAAAAAATACCTTACAAAATGGGAGCAAGTATCCACCAAATCTATTTCTGATAAGGATCTTTTTCTGGAATAGATAAAGGACTCCTACAGTTTAACAACACAAATGATCCAATTTTTTAAATGGGCAAAGGATTTGAATAGACACTTCTTCAGAGAAGATATAAAAGTGGCCAATAAACACATGAAAAAATGTTCAACATCACTAGCATGGAAGGAAATACAAACTGAAACCACAATCAGACACCATTTCATAATCAGTAGGCTGATAATAACCAAAAAGATAGACAAAAGCAAGTGTTAGCAGGAATGGAGAGAAATTGGACCCTTCATACACTGCTGGTGGGAATACAAAATGTTATGGGCTCTTTGGAAGTTTCTCAAATTGTTGCACACAGAGTTGCCATATAATCCAGCTTTCTAAGTAACTGGTTTTCCAACACAAAAAGTTATTGTACAGAATATACAATATACCTTTTCTCCTCCTAAATATTAAGCTGTGCTAGAAATGTAGGACAAAAGAATATAAAAACCAAAATCGACACAGAACAACTTCTGTATTTTATACTTCACTTGAATAACCATATATATTCAAACTCAGGCTACTGGGGACATTTCTAATTTAAATCATTCTGCATGGCAGAGTTTTCTCTAGATTTAAGAACTTACAGAAGATTAACCATTTCATATACTTCCTTTATACCTCCCTCCCTTTCTAAGCTGAGGAAAATGAATACATTTGGTAGGGCAGAGATACTAGCTATTCCCTGAATGGTGGACACCATTCTATTTTCTTTGTACAGGACACTCACTAGCTTGTACTTCCTGCTCAGTTTTCTCCCTCTAGACTACTCTTCCTTCAAGACCTCTCCCAGGAGCACACAGCCTTCCTTCCCTAGAAATCATTTTGGTTCTGATTCCTGTTTTCTTGTGCAATTCTTTGGCTATCCAGTAAATTCCCTGAAGACAAGGCCCTTGCACCTTTTGGTCTCACAACTGCATCTTAATGTCTGCCAGGGTCACAGAACAGCAGTTTGAGATGATCATACCTTTCTCTCCTCTGATTTACTGCTCTAATCCACAGAACTATTTTATAGATTTACATACAACAAGAGAGTGTAGGTAGTTTTCAAGAAATCTGATAAACTACATATAACACATTTGTAATGAATACATTATGTGAACTCTGTGGCTTCCAAAGAGGCAAAAGATTTTAATTCACATTTGTGGTTCAAATAGTTGAAGCTTCACATTGTCTTAGAAAGAGATGTAAGTATGTGCAAAAGAGTAAAGAAAGAGAACAGAAAAATCTAAGCTACCGAGCAGTTATTAATGCTTTCCCATTACATGTCATAAACAGTCGTTCACATCTCAAACCTGAAATCTACTTGCAAGTATACCAATGAAAATTCACTGTAAATAAATCTAAATATTTTTAATGATCACATGATATTTCAAAAGAAAGATTCCTTTTTCTCCATTCATATTTAAGGTAGTCACTCACCTGCATTGAAAGTTGTAAATATACTTTTCCTTGAAGGGCCTAAAATGTGAAAGAAATGTATATAAGATACACATACATTTTGTTGGAAATATCACACAAAAAAACTACGAAGTGTGGCTTTATTTTTAAAAGCAATCCAAAAATTCTCTAAATGTTAGGTTCTACATAGGAAATACTACTGTGATGCAATCAACATTTATGTTTTAAGTATAAAATGATACTCCAAATATCATCAAAATGATAATATTAAGAGTGATATGGCCTTATCATCACAAGTTACGATCAATTTTAATGGACACACCACATTATATTTTCAGGTAGGACCAGTTAAAGTTTATTTTTTAATAGTAGTGAATTCACATGCTTAAGAATAAACACATTATTCTACCACTGATGGCAGGGAAGGGGCCAGGCATAATGAAAGACATCCACTAGTATGCACTTTCCCAAACCAATTTCTACTCAGCAGTAAAATTAGTTTTCTCCAAACCAATTCACTTAAAATACAACCCAGAGTGACAATAGGCACAGAGCTACATATCACTAAAAGAAAACTATGAGTGACTCTATTTGACATCAAACAGCTGTAACACATAAGCCTCTGCAGACTACTAGTTAGAACCAGCTGCCGTATTCTACCTACGGGATTTTACATCTGTGGTCAGCTCTCAAAACATGTGGGCATAGCCATTATAAATGGAAAGCACTGATTCTCACTGAACTAAAACCTCTGTCATAATAAAACTCTCACAAATTTGTAAGACTAGGCCATCTGAAAATACTGGAGGTTCCTGTTCTACAAAATTATCAGTGGGATTTCTAAGTTTCCTTCTCTGAAAGTTACCACAGCATCAAAGTCTGACAATGCTTATTTTCAGCTATTGTTGTACAGATTATGCAGCTATGTGATCATGAATAAAAACCCCAGTTTCACATCCTGAATTCTCCCCTGCAGGGTCATTTGATATTTCAGAGCCTGAACAAATAAGAATATGACATAAGAAAATTCTCTTTTCCAATATTTATGCCTAATTTTGCTTCAATTCAATAGAAAGAAAAAAGCACTGATACACATTAAAGTAGGTCAGTAAGCTCAGGTTACCACATGATCCTTCACACACACACACACATACACACACATATACGTTAAGGAGAATGCTGATGAACACATTTTCTCATACTGCTTGAGCGCAGTATCTTTTTAGAAAGTAACTTGGTGTTATGGTTGATACACTGTGTCAACTTGAAGAGTCTAGAGGCTTGGCTAAGTGACTCAGCAGTTCTGCATCTTGGGGTGAAAAGGACATGCCCTAACCCTTCTGGGATGTTGTTCATTGTATCAGTTTGAGAAGTTTAGAAGGTTAACTATGTGACTCAGCAGGGAGCCAGGGTGCTGACTTTGTATTCATCCTGAGCCTGTGAAATACAAGGGCCTGGAGAGCATGTGAGTGCTACACGCCCCCTGGGAGCACGTAGCCTGCTTACAACAGCAGGGAGGAAAAGAGGCTTGCTCTTCTCTGCCATTGCCCCCTTTGCTGTCTTCCACCGCCATGAACTGTTGCCCTCTCCCATGTGCCACTCTGCCTCGGAACCAGCCAAGTATGAACTGAAACCTCCACAAACTATAAGCTAAATAAACCTTTCCTTCCTTCATTTTGGGCATTGGGTATTTTGTCCCAGCAATGAGAGAAAAGTATCCAAGACACTTGGCAATATATGCTAACAATTTTAAAGAGGTTCACACAGTTGAAGCTAGGAATATCCCAGGGAGGTAACTAGAATCTGAAGCAATGATCACATTAAAGATGTTTGTCTCAGTATTATGCACCACAGTGAAAATCAGAAATTTCCCCATATAAACAAAACCAGACAACCAAAGAATTGGAAAATAGTCATTTAAAGAAAAGAAGCTTTCATGATACACTATAATTAATTACAAAGCAAGATAATAAAGAGTGTACACACTATGCTACTGATTTTGTTAAACAAAAACAGAACCATGTTTATATGGAGAGGAAAAAAACTAGAAGAAAATGCAATGGTAATTGGTGGTTGGTGGAATTTTTTTTTTTTTTTTTTTT